TACTCAAACGTAAGGGATTATTTGTTTTCAGATGGCTGAGAAAGACCCGGAAGTCCCTAATTGCAGCTGCAAGTTTTTGGTTTTTAAGGTTTCCGGGTCTCTGAATTCTTGCTGACAGTAATAGATAGGTGGGAATAATATCTTACCCTTAGGGGATGTTAAGTTGTTAAGGTATTTTGTTTTAGTTCATTCTCCAACTGTAACTGAGATCAAGGGTCTGAGATGGAGTTTAGATGTAGTGTTATCCATCAGGGTGAGCCAGGCACATGATGATGGGAGGGAAGAACAAATCCAGGGTAGAGACAATGCTGGGGATGAACTGAGATGGTTTCTCAGTTTTGCCTAGCCTGGGATCCTCTGGATGGTAGTTTTGCCAGGCTAGTGGTCAGATTGTTCTGTATATCTTTCAGATGGAAAACTGAAACACTAGGTGTTTAAAACCAGATTTTGAGGTCACACAGAATCTGGGACCCAGAACTTTGGTCAGCTGTTGTCCCTACTTCTCCCTAATTTCTGCCACCATTGGCACTGTGGGCTCAGCCAGGGATGAAATCCCTGTGATCTAGCCATGTCAGCATGGTGGACTGGGGAGGCACTCGTGGTCAGCTCCTGGCTATCCCTGGGCCATCACCCACCCTGTCCCTGTAGTGCCTGGGTGTGGCATGGTGGGGGGTGCAGATACATCAATAAGGCACAAGAAATCAACCTTAGACAAGTAATTGCCTATCCAAACATTGCTGGTAATCTGCATCCCTGAAATAAACCCTTGCATGATGGAAAGATGTTAGCAATTTCTGGCCATATGTTCCCTCTTCCCTATTTTCCCCACCTCAAAATAGAAAGTGATCCAAATGGCAAGAAGTAAAGAGTCTAATGCATAACACATTTCCATCATCTGATTTCCCTTCTCCCCTCGCCGTTCCCCCACCTATGTAAACTAAATTCCTTTACATGGTCATGGCAAAGAAACATTAATTTTTGATTTGAGTTGTGATTAAAAGCAACACAATCAAAAGAATGAAATAGTTTCCACTGAAGCAATATTTTAAACTGAGTCCTGGTACAGTAGGAGAGAGTATACTCTATAGGTTTAGGTGTGGGTTCTAATCCTGATTGTGTCTCTTGCAAATTGTGTCTCATGCAACTTGTGGCCTTGTGCTGCCATTGTAACAAGATACTAATGATGCCTATGTAGCATGGTTGCTGTAATAAACAAGGAGTCACAAGCAGAGCACCCATCCTATGTTTATCTATACAGCTTAACTCATGGCGGCTACTCAGTGAATAATCGCTCACTCCTCTGCAGAAAAGAGGATTCCTACATTGTCAGGTAGTGCACCCATTAGTCTCTCCAGGTGATGTACTGGTCACTCCTGTAGAAACACTTGGTTTCAAGCTTTAGACTTTGGGAAGTAGCTTGGGACTTATCTAATAACCTGGGTCACCTTTTGGAGGGTCTAAGGAGAGGAGCAGAATTGTTCTTACTCCCTTGCTTTACCTTTTGCAGTCTTTCTTTGATCAATTTTGTATTAGCCAGCTTTCTGTTACTATAAAGAGAAAAGGTTTATTTTGGATCACAGTTCTAGAGATTCCAGTGCATGTTCATTTGGCTCCATTGCTTTGGGTGAGGCAGCACATCATGGCAGGAACACATGACAGAGCAAAACCACTGACCTCAAGACCAGGAAACAAAAAGCAGCAGAAGAGGAAGGAGTTGACATCCAATAATCCCCTTCAAGAACATGCCTCCCCAAGTCTTTGCCCCCCCCCCCCCCACCTCCGCCAATGACTTAAACACCTCCTACTAGGCCCTGCCTCTCAAAGGTTTCACCATCTCCCAGGAGTGCCAGGTCTTTAACACATGGGCCTTGGGGGTGCTCTTAAGATCTGAACCATAGCAAGTGCTTTCTCCCATTCCTATTTGCTCTGTTTTGCAGAGGGGAGGCAGAGATGAGCTTTGTTTCTGCTTTGGCCTGGGCAATGAGTCTCTTCTTGCTGGTCCCTCACTTGACCCCCTTGAGAATTTTTCTTATTCAGTAAACCACACACTGGAACAGGTGAAGTCCTTTCTCAGTTGAACTACCACTTCATTCAAGGTTTGTAAGGCAACAATGGAAACTGAGCCAGGTGTGGGCCTGTGTGGGCATATCTGGGGTGAAGCCTCCCCTTCACTGCACTCCCACCTGTTGGTTCCTAGGTGCTCTGTCCACTATGGGGATAGGAACTAAGCATGACGCCAAACCCTGGGCAGTCACTTACTCAGGGAAGAGAGAGAGTGTGAAAAAACCAAACTCATTGGGAAGCTGTGCTCAAATCACTCCCGTGGGCTGGGCAGCCTGGGACAACTTGGAGGTCAATCTTAATCCTCAGCTAGAGCAGTCTGCTCATTAATACCCAGTTCTGACCTTTCTGCCACCCTTGGGGTGAGGCATTTCTCAGGCCCAGGCTATTATATGGGGCTTGAGTTAAGTAGGCATCAAGATCTGGAACTCCTTTTGTCAGAAAAAGAAAACAGTGGGAGAGGATTTAATTTACTGACTTTGACACATTCATTACAGATTTGCTCCTAGGATTTTTTTTGCCCTTCTTTTTACTTGTGGGTTAGCCAAGGGTGTGGTTTTCTAATCAACTAAATATTAAATAACAAAGCCTTTGCAAATGCAATTCTTCCTTTGCTAGGGTAGTCTCTTTCAGCCCCAGGAACTCTTTCATCACTCCATTTTAAAATGTGGGAAGAGTGTTTGAATTCCTCTCCCTTATTTTCTCAGTCCATTTAATGAGCACTCTTAAGTTTTGGGTTTGTTGCAAAGAATTTTGGAACCACAGAGTCAGCAAGGACAGCATCTTGATTAAAAGTGCACAATCAGACACGGTGCTGCCACTTGGATCAGTGTCCCCCAAAGGTCCATGTCTCAAAGGCTTGTTGCCTAGTCTGTGGAGCCACTAGGAGGTGGTGGAACCTGTAGGAGGTGGGTCCCAATGGGAGGAAGGTAGGCTATTAGGGCCCATATCCTTAAAGAGGATATTGGGGCCTCTATCCCTCTTCTTCCTTTCTTTCTCTTTTTGCTTCCCAGCCATCATTAGGTGAAAAGATTGTTATACCACGTGCCTCCACCATTAAGTGCTGCCTCACCAAAGCAATAGGGGGCAATTGACATGCCCTGAAACCTCTGAAACCGTGAGCCAAAATATACCTTTCCTCTTTATAAGTTTACTATCTCAGGTATTTGTTACAGTGATGGAAAACTGACTAACACACATGGATTTAAGTTTAGGATTGATGCTGGGCGTGGTGGCACACACCTGTAATCCCAGCGGTTTGGGAGGCTGAGGCAGGAGGATTGTGAGTTCAAGCCAGCCTCAGCAAAAAAGTGAGGTGCTAAGCAACTCAGTGAGACCCTGTCTCTAAATAAAATGCAAAAAGAAGACTGGGGATTTGGCTTGTTGGGCAAGGGAATATGGCTAATGGGGCAAGTGCTCCTGAGTCAAATGCCCAGTACCGCACCCCACCCCAATATTGTTTAGGATTGATGACTTTGGGCAAGTCAACAAGTCAAGCATTGTTTTCTCATCTCTTAATCGGGGAAAATAATTGTACCTTCCTTATGAAGTTATTAGGATCAATTGAGTAAATACATGCAAAAGAACCCTCTATAGCATGGCACACATCCTTATGATCACTGACTTCTTATGGAGTATAGGTGGAAACATTGGGTTATTAAAAAGAGGGCCTTGGTGATTTTTAATTCAGAAGATTTCAAAGGACATCCATATTATCTGGTGACTGGCACCTGAAAAATGATTTCCAATTTCTAAATACCTGGGGTTGGCCAGTCCTAGAGGGGAATCAATTGTGAAAGTGACACTACATAATTAGCGTGTCTACAGTTTATTGAGTGTTTCCATACTAACTTGTCTTTATCGATGGATCCTGTCTGGCCATCACTGAAGGATCTGGCCCATGGGTTAAAAACAATGTTAAGGGCTGGGAGTGTATCTCAGTGGTAGAATGCTTGCCCAGCATGTGGGAGGCCCTGGGTTTCTTCCCAGCACCACAAAACAAAACAAAACAACTGTCCCCACACACAAGAAAGACTCCAAGTTGTGGCACAGTCTGTAGAGAGGAAAAAAAGAGGAGACGGACTTGATGGGTAGGCCTATTCTTCCTTTCTGATGGGGTTGTACTGAGAACAGAAGCAGCCCTGTACCATATTAGGTTTGAGGAGAGACCATCACCTAGTTTTATCTATCACAGCCTCACTGGGGCTTGCTCTGATCTGTCAGGAAGTCAAAGTCAAACGCACTAAGTCTGTGTTGGTCTTCTCAGTTGGTAGAACCTTAGTGGTACTTGTAAATGGTTTATTGACTAGTGGTGAGGGGACCTTAGTAGTACCCGCTGTCCAACTTCCATGGAGAGATAGCCATGAGAACTCTGATTTTGCCCTGCTAAAGTTGGATGTTGATATTTAATGCACCCAAGCCTGACAATTCAAAGCGTTCTTTAACTTTCCCTTGCTGAATGTGAGATGAGGCAGATTGTCTCTGCCTTATTTATAGGACCCAACTTTCAAGGAATTTTTGAATCTACTTTCTCTTAAAAAAAAAAAAAATCAGAGTAGGATTTCTTCTTTGCTGGAATTTATAACATTAGGTTACATGGATTAAATTGGATTGTTTGACCCCTTTCTTCCCTGAAAGCATCGTAGGATATTCTGAGTTACTTGGGGTTTACAAAAATGAAATACAATTTAGTTATGAAAATTTATTTGGAAGTCTTATGGTGCCCTATGGTAATTCCTGAGATGCCCTTAGACTCCATAAAATTGTAGGGGTCAGAATCAGCGGCATGGTGAGTGACTGAGACTTTTGTTTTCATTTCGAGAACTGCCTTCTTCTTGCTATTACATCAGCCAGGCGTTAGGGTTTTTGTTTTAGATGAAAAACTGTGTTCTAAAATGCTTTCTTTTCCCTTCTCTTCTTCTTTCCCCCATCATCTGTAGCACTGAGGATGAAAATCAAAGAAGTTAAAAAAGAAAATGGTGACAAAAAGATTATCCCCAAGAAGAAGAAGCCCCTGAAGTTGGGGCCCATCAAGAAGAAGGAGCTGAAGAAGCTGGTGTTGTTCCTGAAGAATGGGGCAGACTGTCCCTGCCACCAGCTGGACAACCTCAGCCACCACTTTCTCATCATGGGCCGCAAAGTGAAGAACCAGTACTTGCTGACGGCCATTCACAAGTGGGACAAGAAAAACAAAGAGTTCAAAAACTTCATGAAGAAAATGAAAAACCACGAATGCCCCACTTTTCAGTCGGTCTTTAAGTGATTTTTCACGGGGTGGGTGGGGGAGGGAGCCGTGGGGGGGGGTGAGGGGCGGGGGAAGAGCGGACGACCCTGGAACCCGGTGGTTCCCACACACTGCTCCTGTCGGTAGTGGACGTTTCCACCCAGCTGGCTCTGTTCTTGCAGATTCCCACTCCCTTCCCTTCGTAGCCACACTCCAGACCCCAGTATAGCCACGTCCAGGTAAGGAAAGGGCCATTTAGATTAGGAAGGCTTTTAAGATCTGCAGCGCCGAATAGCAGCCACTGTGCTTCACCCAGAGACAGAGTCACCAAAAATAGAAAATATTTTTTTGCCAGTTAAAAAGAGAGAGAGAGAGAGATTGGGCAAAAAGTGAGAGAGAGCATCTTTCCTAGTGTTGTTATAAATTGCTTTTGGATCTGCCAGCGAATCTGTGCCTCTGGAACTAGGAAATTCTGCTGGTAAATTGCATTGCTTTTGGTTCCAGATGACTTCTCTGTCTGCTTCAGATAGAAACACATACATCGCACTTGTTGTTTAAGATAAATTTTGAAAGTAATATGAAAAGCAGTAGGTAATATTGAAAACAAAGTTACTACAAGAGTTACTACTGCTCTGCCTTCAGTTCTCTCATGGGATCCTCTTTTGATATGAATTGGTCAGTCTCAGATGCCCTGTGTGTGGTGGCTCACGTCGGCCTTGTATATGACCTCACTTCCACACATGTGTGGGGCTGCACATGTGCCCTCTTTCATGTAAGGAAGAGGAACACAGTGGGCATGAGAGAGATGAGGATTTTCAGGCATGGTTAGTTGTTTCCAAAAAACATAAAGAAAAAAAGAAAATTTTTTGAATGCTTCAGCAAATAACTAGTCTGGATAAATGGTGAAATTGGGTGAAGAGCTTCATATTCTAATTTCACATGTTCATTTCACATTTTAAAAGAATAGAAAGGACAACAAAAAACATACCGACTTTTCAAAGTTTAAAAAAGTTTACATTGAGCATTTGAAAGGTGAATCAGGACCAAGGTCTTCTGATCCATATGAGAAGCTCTTTCACTGGGCCTTTTCAGGTGGAGGTGGATTTGAGGTCCTCCTTCCTGAGTTCTCAGATGCCCTGGGGCTAACACAACACTGATGAAATTCCTAGCACTTCCCATCCTATGCTCTCCTGTGAAGGAACTGATTCCTTTAAACTTGGCTTCCTATAGATCAAAGAAATTCTGAATATCCTGCCTGTCTGACCCCTCCACTTTTTACTTTTGTATTTCCCCCACCCCATTTCTTTTGAGGAAAAGTTGACATAAATGTCCTCATTGAAGAAGAAAGTTTCAAAGGCAAACCATCTCTGCAGTTTTTTCCTAAGTGCCAGGAGATGTTCCTCAAAGCCATTATGCCTAATAAGTGATGTAAATAAAACAGTTCTCTTAAACCACTTTCCTTTTTTTGTCCAATGTAAAGCAAATAATTCTAAAACAAACAAACAAAACAACACATTCATTTCCTCTGCCAAAGCCTAATTCTTGATTCCCTATCACATCTCAAGGACCTTAGTGGTTGTCCCTCTGCACAAACATTCATACCCAATCCGAATATAGTAGTGAAACTGTCCAGTGTCAATCACTGAAGTGGCCCTGAGCTGACACAGAAGCAGTGGAAGATTCTGTTAATTACGAAAAACTCCAGTCTGAAAATCAGCATGGAGACTCAGTTACCTACCTGAGAGTTATCCTGATGTAATTAACCTCTCACAATTAGCAATCCCATCATTTTAACACTTTTTTTTTTCTCTCTGATTGTTAAAGTATTGGGGAATTTAAATGATTTGCCTGTAATTTTGGATGGTTTATAAATGTGTGTATATATATATATTAGTAATTAGAAATATCATAGTTTTCTTTGTCCAACTGATATTCAGAGCAATTTCATGAGTGCATGGAGTTGGGCCTTCGTTTTGGTGGATTAAGTCAAGAGCTCAGTTATCGTTATGTATCTAATGCACATTTTGACAAAGTCTGTCATAAATCAGGGTCCTTTACAGAGGGATTTTTCTGGGGTACCAGCAGTTACCACTGAAAGAGTAAGGAACAGCAGGTGGCCATGCTGTACGACTCTTTAAACCGGAATTCTCAGGTAGGAAGCAACATTTCAGAAAGGGTTCAAAATAACTTGGCAATGTGAATGGTGGCTGCACACTTCACCCAGTTGCAGAGTTTCTGGCCTTTGGGTTTGACTGTGTACTTTGGTGAAGAATTTAGACACACACCAGCTTTGTCTCTACCACATCAGCAATTTCAGGACGAAATGGGTGATTATCCATGGGCCCAAAGCTGCATTATTACCAGCTGTTTTTTTTTTTTTTTTAAACAAAGAACATAACAAAACCAATGTGCAGACTCATTGGCTTAGTCATTGGTTTCCAAAAGAGGAGGTCTATGTGTGATTTGATAGTTTTTGCTAGTGCGAAAGTTGGATTCGTGAAGCTTTAAAATAATCGTTCTGGAGAGAGTCCCATGAGGCCGTTGTCAGATCGCAGCTAAATCTTTGAAGAATATTAGTAGTTATCTTAGAAGATAGCATGGGAGCTGAGAATTCCAAGAACATTTTATTTTTAAGATATCCTGTGTAACACTTGGCTCTTGGTGTTGGTGGATTAGCACCAAGTTCTCCCCAGGGCAGAATCCAATCAGAGCTCTAGTTTTCATTTGGATCTGCAAATTACAGAAATCCCATTTCCCAAACCTAGAATCTGTTTTCCTCATCAGACTCCATGTAGCTAGTTGCTCTGTTGTAACTTCATAGATGTGTTGAGCTCAGTGGCCGAGCTGTTTTAGAAGTGCACCTTAGACAATTTCCCCCAGAATAATGTGCTGGCCATTCTGACCTGTCTGTCATCAGAAGATATGCAGGACATGGACGGAATTCCCATTTCCTTGAGTTCTTTTGTAGTCCTTCTCTCTTAGAGTCTAAATCTTTTACACAAGCTTTGAATACTGTGAAAATGTTTTACATTCCATTTCATTTGTGTTGTTTTTTTAAATGCATTTTACCAGATGTTTTGATGTTATCACTTATGTTAATAGTAATTCCCGTATGTGTTCATTTTATTTTCATGCTTTTCCTGCCATGTATTCACTTGACTAAAATCACTCAATTAATCAACAATAGTGTGAATTGTGACTCCCTATCCCCTACTCCCCAATCATACACTTGTCATCTTCTTCCACTGCACACATACCCACTGGCTCTTGTTTCAATTTTGTTTTCTGGTTCCAGTTCAACTGCTGACTGGGTGTGGGTGGGCTGGGGGAGACCCGGAGATGCACTGGATGTTCCCCTACCCTCCCTGTGCATTTAGCATATGCTCCTATGGATAACTCCCTGAGGTGCTTCTCCTGGCTGTGTTTCAGATCAGAGAGGTTAAATACTCACTCTACAAGTAAACAGTTTCCAGCTCTGCCTGAGCTTCTTTTCCATGTTTTTGGTTTTAGATGCTCTTTCCCCTCTGGCCCAAATCAGTGTTCAAATTACCAGCTAGGACTTGAAAACTTGTTTATGTCTGGAATGCTGGATCTGCATGAGACGTTAGAGATCATGTCTTCCTTTTTTATAGATGAAGAATCTTAAGATGGGATATGGTCAGGACTTGCCAGGGGACCTGTAGGTCACTGGCATTGCTGGAGTTAGAACCCAGAGCCTTTGAACTCCAATTGTGTAGGCACAGTGTCTGAATTACTGCTGAGCTTCCTTTTGGACCCTGAGTGTCACACTCTGCTGAGCCCAAGCTGTTTCCTATTAAGCTGTAGGTTTTTTTTTTTTTCCCCCTAAGGAACTCTTCCATGTGACTTTTAATTCTATAAACAATTACAATAATGACTTCATATGAAGTAGTTTCCTGATTGATAAGGCACCTCCAAACCTGAAACAACTGGCATTTCCCGCCAAAGTGCCAAAGTGAGCATATCCCCAAATCACCCCAAAGCCCACACCCAACCACAGAGACACTGATTTAAAAAATTAGTTTAAAAAGACTTCTAAGATTCTATTAAAGTCATCTTCTGGCACAAAAAGTTGTTCATATACTAATGTACCTGGGGAAATCATGGAGAAAACATTAGCATTTACTTTTAATTCCCCTGTAGTTAATATGAAAGAAGACTTCTTCAAGGCTACCCTGAAGCCTCATCACCATGACCTACAATTTCCCATTGCTATCTTGATTTTTTTTTTTAAACAAACCAGCACAAGGACAATGAATTGGGTGTAAAGGCATCTCAGCTGCAGCTGCTGGAGTTGCCTTGGAGTTTGGGGAGCCTAAGGGCCAGAACTGCTCAGGTCTTATGCTGAAGGATGCTGACAGCACCAAGAACTGCAGGCTTGCCCTCAAGCTGCACAGCACACAGCCCACCTTAATGAACTACACAGGTGCTTCCATACCTTTGGGAAATACAAGACTTGGGTCACAATGTTCTCCTCCAAGTAAGATTGGTCTAAAAGCCATCTTCCCACAATGGATCCAGAAGTGCCAGCAATTCACACTTGTTTCCACGGAAGAGAAATCTGTACTCATTATCCAATAGCAATCACAAAAGAGAAGACTAGAACCATTCTTAAGTTTTAGCAGGTGTAGGTATCACTGAGGGGAGCTTGCTTACACACCATTCCAGCTTTTACCCCCAAATATTCTGATTAGGAAGGTTTGTGATGGGGCCTTGAACTTGTAACTCATGCATTTAGGTTTTTCAGGTCCCTGCAGTTCATTGCATCTTTGCAAACATTCTAATAGGATAACTGGCCTGGGGATGGGAGTCAGGGGATTATTTTGTTTTCTTCCTTTTCCCTACCTGAACATGTCATATTGCTGTCATCCGGTCTGAAGTTTGGTGAATTATTTTCCCTGGGTATTGGTTATTAAAAGTAAGTTTCATATGAGAGGGAATGACTTTGTTCTTCCCTTTAGGGCTGGGTTCATCTGGCTGTCCAGAGTGCTTCTCAGATTTTAATATGCACATGAGTCTTGTAGTAACCAATGTTAAAATGCAGATTCTGACTTGGTAGGTCTGAGGTGGGGCATTTCTGCATTTTTAATGAGCTCCCGAATGAGGCTGGGATTGCTGGTCTGCAGAACACACTTTAGGTAGGGACACTGTAATGGGCTGGTGGTGTCCTTGCTTTTGTTGTGGTAATGCCATCCCTGGGATCCCTGTGTAGAACGTATGTGCTAGTAACTCAAAATATGAACCATGCTTTGGGCTGAGAAGATAAACAGGAATGAGAGCTTGTCA